CCGCGCGGCACCGGCGCCTGCGGGAAGCCGAGGAGGCTCAGCAGTACTACCTGGATGCTGGCGAGGCCGAGGCCTGGGTCAGCGAGCAGGAGCTCTTCATGGGAGCTGAGGAGAAGCCAAAGGTGAGGGTGGGAGCTCCCTGTGGTGTCCCCGTGGTGGGGGGGTTGGTGGTGGGTCTTGCTCTGCTCTGCTGGGGTTTCAGGTGTGAGCCTGGGCTGAGCTGTGAAACGTTACCCTGCTCCATGCCGTGCCATGCCATGCCATGCCATGCCATCTGATGGTGTGTTGTGCTGTGCTGTCATGCCATGCCATGTCATGCTGTGCCATAACACACTGTCCATCTCATGCCATGTTGTGTCATCCCATGCCATCTGTGCTGCTCTTGGCCATGCTAGGCACTAGGTCATCCCATGCCTTGTCATGTCATTCCATGTCGTGCCATCCATGCCACCCTATGCCATGCAAGTCTAGGTCCTCCCATGCCATTCCATTCCATGCTAGGCAATTCCAGGCCACCCTACACCATGCCACCCCACCCATACCACCCTACACCTACAAGCCTAGGTCATCCTATGCCATTTCATGTCATTCCATGCCACCTGCTGCCATCCCATCCCTGTCCCCCTACGCTGTGCCATTCCAGCTCATCCCACGCCATCCATGCCATGCCATGCCATGCTGTGCTGCACTGTGCCCTGCTGAGCTCCCCATTGCTCCCCATGTCCCCGGGCAGAGGTGGGGTGGGTGCCCACAAGGTGGGTGCCTGTGGGGCGGGTGCCGGGCCCTCCGGTGCTGAGGGTGCCGGTGCCGCAGGACGAGGAGAGTGCAGCAGGGATGCTGAAGAAGCACGAGCGGCAGCAACGCGCCATCGAGGACTATGGCCAGGCCATCAAGGAGCTGGCAGCCAGGGCCCAGCAGCTGCTCTCTGCTGGCCACCCGGAGGGGTAGGTGCCACCACCCACTGTCCCTTGGGGCAGCCCTGTGTGTCCCTTGTCTCTTAAGGCAGGCTGGGGGATCCCCTGCCCCCTCAGGCAGCGCTGTGTGTCCTCTGTGGGCAGCCCTGTTTGTCCCTTGGGGCAGCCACATGTGTTTCCTGTCCCTCAAGGTGGCCCCACGTTTCCCCTGTCCCTTGGGGCAGTGCCATGTGTCCCCTGTCCTTCAGGGCAGTCCCATGTGTCCCCTGTCCCTCAAGGCAGCCCCATGTGTCCTCCTGTCTCTCGGGGCAGCCCCATGGGTCCTCCTGTCCCTCAGGGCAGCCCCACGTCCCCTGTCCCCTGGGGCAGCCCCACGTGTCTCCTGTCCCTTGGGGCAGCCCCACGTGTCCCTTGTCCCTCAAGGCAGCCCCATGTGTCCTCCTGTCCCTTGGGGCAGCCCCACCTGTAC